AGGAGGTTGAGGAGGAGGAGGAGGAGGAGGAGGATGTCGGGGGCGCTGGCGACGCGGATCTGCGGGATGGGCACCAGGCGATCCTCGATTCCCTCCACTCGGAGTCGACTGCGAATGCCAGATGCCATCACTGGCAGGAGATGGAGGTGTAGCAGGCCGCGGAGGAGGCAGAGATGCTCGCCTACATGGCTGAGGTCGAGTCGGAGGGGGATGAGCCGGAGCCCTCCTACGCGCCTGTCCACCGGGCGCCAGGCATCGACGTCGTGGACATATTCGACGACGAAGATTAGGTAGGGTAGTACGTAGGATTTATTTTGCATGTTTTGTATGGATCTAGGGTTTGAAATATGAGACACTCGGATGCAAAGTGGCTAATTTGAGGTGTGACAGATCACCTGGCGCGTCCGCGGGTGTTTGAGTGATCGGATTTGTCAAGTATGGCTGTAGAATGCTCTTAGACAACAAGTCGGGACAAAACCTATAGTCAAGCACTCGGCGTGCAAGGTTTCACTTCAACCTAGACGCAGCCGAGCGTTGACAAGCTCTAGGGCTATTGACGTTATCACATACCGTCGGTACATCACTTGAAGGCAAGTTGGCCCACTAAACCGACCTTAGGGCCCAAAAGGCCACGACCCTTGGCCCTTAACTTGCCAGTAGGCCTCTCTAGAAGGTCTGCATCAACTTGCCGCACAAGACAACCATAAGGGATGCGGTGGACTCTTAAAGGGTGTTTGTTTCCAGGGATTTATTGGTTTAGGGACTTAAAAAGTCCATATAGGTCCCATCTAAACCAAACAGGAGGGACTTATAAGGACTTATAGTGGGCATTTGGGACTTATGAAATAAGACTCTCAAGGAGAGTCTTATAGGGACTTATAGTTGTAATATGGTCTTATAGGAACTTATAAGTCCCAGGAACCAAACAGGTAGGGACTTTTTAGGGACTTGAGACTTATAAGTTGGGACTAAAAAAAAGTCCTATGACTTATGAACCAAACAGTGCCTCAGATCGTCTGTATAATTATGTTCCTGGCGGTGAGAACATTTAAAACAAATACAACCCTGAATATACTTCAACAAGTTTAAAAAATGTGAATACTGAAACACGGTGAAACACTATGGAACTATACGAAACCATGATATTCTGTTGAACTCGTTTTAGGCCCCGAGCGCAATGTTACACTCTAGAATAAAACGACACCAGATGAAACAGTGTATAAAATGTTGTTGTCTACATACTTTTCATACTTTCATGAAATAGCTCAAAGCGCACTGACACATGCAGACACAGGCTGACACAATAAGATTTACTCTGGAACATAATAGACTACAATGAAATTTAAACTTTTGTTACAATAAAACCTATTGTCATTTACAAACTCTGAGATTCCTCTGAATCAATTTGGTCCGCTCTGAAACATATGTAGCATTATGATACACTAGAAGAACGCTCGTGCGTTGCAAAGGGGTCACATTAACTTTAAGAGTTCAATATTACGACATTGACTACTTTTTTACCATCAAATCCTCACACACACTCTCTCCCCCTCCCTCTTCCTCACTCTCTCTCCCTCTCTCTCTAACACACACACACACACATAGCCTATTCTCCCCGCCAATAAGCCTTACTCAATTGGCAATATTGTGTGGACTTGTGGTGAGCTTGACTGGACTAATGGATAGTGTGATATATTCCCCAATCATTTAACAATGCAATTTCAGAAATTGGGAAGATTATGTAACACCTCAAGTCGTTAGCTATAGTAACCTCCCCCTAATGATGACATGTCATCAGACTTGCTAAGCCAAACTGCCACATGATAAAAATCAAAGCCCAATTCAAATTTAAAATAAAGTCAAATAAATTATTTCGTCAAACAGTAAAACTAAAATGTTCACCATATTCTATAAATTCCACTGATCTTTGACATGTTCACTCTCTCTCCCTCTCCCTCTAACACACACACACACATAGCCTATTCTCCCCGCCAATAAGCCTTACTCAATTGGCAATAATGTGTGGACTTGTGGTGAGCTTGACTGGACTAATGGATAGTGTGATATATTCCCCTATCATTTAACAATGCAATTTCAGAAATTGGGAAGATTATGTAACACCTCAAGTCGTTAGCTATAGTAACCTCCCCCTAATGATGACATGTCATCAGGCTTGCTAAGCCAAACTGCCACATGATAAAAATCAAAGCCCAATTCAAATTTAAAATAAAGTCAAATAAATTATTTCTTCAAATAGTAAAAATAAAATGTTCACCATATTCTATAAATTCCACTGATCTTTGACATGTTGAGCCCAACATTATTTGACCCAAAAATTAAATCTTGTCAAATTAATAAGCTGTCCAACGGTAGTTAAAATAACCAATTAAATATAAACCAAATTTTATGTATTTTCTTTTGGCCCCAAACTTTTTGTGCCACCTAAAAATATTGTGCTCGAATTGTGCATAGTTTCACAATTAACAAAATCCATTTAGTTGATATAAGAATAAATAGAAAACAGTGTTAAAAAGGAGAAACGGATTAGAATACATTAAAAACCAAAAGAACGATGAAAAAGGGGATTCCCCTACCCCCAGGCCTTGCCACCGAACCGGCCCAGTGGTCCAGTCCCCGCACGGTCGTCTTCTCCTATTCCCCGAGCCCGTCGCTACAGAGCCGGGCTCCCGCCCGCCACCTCGCCGGCATCGAAGGGGAATGGATAGGGGTGACGCCCTGCCTCCCCTGCCCCCATGGCATCACTCCTTCTCGACAACCCCCTTCCAGATCCACTTCTCCTCCTCGCTCGCTCGATCCCGGTGATCTGGACAAAGTCAGATGCCACGGCCACCATGACCGACCCTGTCCACACGGCCACTGCCCTCCCTGCTGGCTAGGAGCTTGTCGAGGAGCGCCGAATGCCTCCGCTACTTCGTCTGCACCAA